TGATTTCCTCAAGGAGGATGGGCTCTGGTAAGGCGAACCGGGAATTCCAGGCACAGAAAATTGTGGAGCTGAGCCCAGGGCCTGAAGGTGCAGGGGATGCGGGGAGCACCCACAACAACCCGCTGGCTTCCATCCCGCTGCCTCCTCTCCCTCTGCCACCTGCAGCCACACTGCCAGGTAATGCTCGGTCCATCGTCACCTGCTCGGAGACCTCCCTGGGCCGGGCCCTGCGCCTCCAGCAGAACCACTTACCGCTCCAGCCTGGTGGTTGAAGCCTTCCCTGCAGACATCTTCCCTCCTCTACTCTCCAGATATGGCTGTGCCCCACCTTCGCCCAGCATGGCTCCTGCCCCCGATACCTCCCCACTCTGCTTCCTCCCCAGGACGCCCCGTAACTCTTCCACCCTCCACCAGCTCCAAAGAAGTGCTTGGGCAAGTCCCTTGGTCCCGGCGGTTCCAGTTTCTCATACACGTGGTGACCGTAGTTTGTCTCAAACGCTGTGGGAACATGGGTGGGGGAGAAGCTGAGGTCAGAACTCAGCGTGCAGTCTGTGGGCTCTTCAATATTTTAACATAAAATCAAGTTTTGTTATTATTGAAGTGAAAAACCATACGGAAAATGGAGACAACAGTCCCCTATAATAATCTCACTGGCCAGGACCTCCAATGCGATCGCTTTGGAGACTTTGCTGCCTTGTTGTTACAGAGACAGACATTACTGTTCCCGCGGGGAGGCGGAGGGGTTTTGTTGTTATTACAGCCACACGGGGATATAATTCATGTACCATACAATCCACCTGTTTGAAGTGTATAAGTATTTTTTTAGTATATTACAGAGCTGTGCAACCATCACACTTAGAATATCTTTGTCCCTCCATCCGTTAGCAGTTACCTCCATGTTTTGATTTTTGCTTAACATTGTTTTGCAAGCATCTTTCCCGGTTGCCTGAGAGCCTTACCTACCTTGTCTGGGGACTGACTGCTAGCAGAGGCTTCGGGTGAGGGGAGGGCACAGCAGCGTGTCCTAGAACGAGGGAGTTGGCGAGGACTAGGGAAGATCGATGGGACAGTGAGTGGAGACAGGGAGAGCAGAGGGAGGGGTGATGGGAGTAGGCTGCGAGGAGGGATCCCCTTGGGCCTGACTTCGGGGTGGAGAGGAGCCAAGCTCTGGAAGCAGAATTGGCAGCACTACTACCCTAGGGGTGCCGGGAAGGGTGCAGGAGGAGGGTGTGGGCGCCCTTCCTGGGTGTGTGTGTGGGGGGGTGAGGTGGGGATGGGAAGTAAGATCAATAACCGAGTGTCCGAAGGAGCGCACACAGGTTTGCAGGCGAGTTGAAAATGAGCTTGATTTTGGACGCACTGGATGTGGGGGCCTCGGGTTCTCCAAAAGTTGTGGGCGGTGGGATGCTCGGGTCTGGCCCTCAGGGGGCGCTCGAGGCGGCAGGGGAGTTACGGTGTAAGGGCCCCGTGTGAGGCCTGGGGAGCCTGAGTGTATCCAGGGTGGGTGTGAAGGTTAGAGAGCGCCTGAAGACCACGGGCACTTTAGGGTGGGGTGTGTGTGTGGGGGGGTGAGGAATGAAGGCTGTGGACCATGTCACCCGGTGAGAAGGCAGAGCTGGAGGCGCCCCGCAGAGGGGGGAAGGCCGGCGCGGGGTGCAGGAGTGGGTGCGGCGCAGAGCTGCCGCCCTCAGAGCCTTC